AGCTGACCAAGTGACCGTATCAACCGTGCTATCTCAACCGTCTCAAATATTCAGAAACTCAAATAACTTTTTAATGATATGGTTTAGTATTTTTTTTTCTTCAGAATATTGTGATATCGTGAATTTTCTAGACAAAATTCTAACTAACTTCCCATTTTTCGTTATCTTTTTAACAATATGAAGCTTTGTTTGTCTTAAGAAAAATTAATTACTGTGATTTGTTTCAAAACAGTATGTAGGCAAACCATTGGAGCTATAATTAATGTAGTAGCCATATTTGTCAAAAAGACAACAAAGCTTGCATGGGACAGAGAGCTATATTGGTTAATTACAGTTTGGTCCTGGTTAATGTGGGCTGCTGACGTATACCCACTAATCTAGTAATCTTCTCATTGTGTTCCATTACTATGACTTGTGCTGATTATACACTTGTATTATGCTTTTATCATTTTCCCTTTTTTTTTTATATATATATCGTAGGCTCGTGTCTCGTGAATTATATATAATTTCTAATTTCATTAATGTTCTTACGGTGTCATGAGAAGATAAATACGACGTAAACGGATGATGATTAATAATGTCTATTCGAGAACAAACAATGGATAATGAGAGTCTATTAAACATCCACAGATGTTTCTAGTCTCCTCGATTTTACACAAAAGTTATTTCCTCAATTTTGCATAATTTACACCAATTATTTGGCAAATGATATGCCTTCTCTAGGGAATTGGAAAAGTTAAAGATGAGATCATTGCACCTGATGTTTTTTTTGGGGGTCGTCCTTTTTAGGTCATAGCTAGTATATATATATTCGGTCGAATAAGGTCTTAGTATATATGGAATCACCATTCACCACCTTCCGAAATTTGGGGAAGAAAAAATCAATGTCAAGATGTTTGAGCATGGTTTCAACCCTACTACTAAATCATAGGGAATAAAAAGTTTTCGTTAAGCCAGGTCTTTACTTTAAACAAAAAGATTGGAGATATGTGAGCAATAGTTTTTAGAATGAACTCTTATGTAAACGCTCGAGCATTTAATATTTGGATTTTCTCGTATCCACTCTAATAGTTTTTCTTAAAAACCTATAATATTTAGGGACCCTAATATTTATTGATCAATACTGAAGATGTATCCATCAACATCTATAATCCAAATAGATCTCCAATTCAGTGCATCACGAATACATATCCACCAACTATTATAATTCACATTCACAAACTAAAATTTGAGGAAAAAAAAAAAAAACTAAAATTTATAACAAACTGAAAAAGCTATGACTAAAGGGCCTCGTATTGAGGTGACTGGTACAATAAGATATTGTTTCGATCTGAAGTTGAGTTCTTGCATCTTTCAAAGGAAGACAAAAAGAGGTATACGTAGTTCAATTCTTAACAAACATTTTTTTTCCGGATTTAGATTAGAAGTTAATCGAAGAAACTAATTCACCAAATTACTGTATTTTGGAAATCCGCTAGTGTATATACAATTGTCTTAACATTCCTAACTTTCCAAAAAGAATTGATAATCTTTTAGCAACAATATATAATAGTTTTTAAAATTACTATTCTGAGAAAAAAGGTAAGTTACTATTCTGAGAAAAAGTTCCGAAGATTCGGGAACTAATATTTTAATGTATCAGGTGGTAGAACAAATATAAGTAGAATGACTTATCGATACACAAAGGAAGGATATCTATCATTGCAGTTCACATTTCAATTATATTCCCTTTCCCACTAGACATGTTTTATAAGTTTGTTTATAATATCTATTTAGTGTTTAGCTCAATTACGTTGCCTTTTACTTTGATATATCTTTAATAAAAGGAAAGTAAGTTGTTTTGTATTGAAACATTGGTAGATTCCTCCACTATTCGAAATAGCTTTTTGGAAAGATAGTGGAGGTCTGCTGCTTAAATTATCGCTGGTCTCCTTTTACGCAAATTATTATTTCGTCTTTATGATCTCAAAGGGACGCATATGAAAATTTTCAAATATAAAAAGGAAATAGATGCAAAAAAGGGGTTAGGCTTGTGGCCATAAGGAAGGGAAAAAATACTTTGGCAATCTTCGGTTGTTCAAAATGGTAGAACGTGTTAGCGTTATACAATTAGGATGCTCCGCCCGTTTTTATATGTCCAATTATATTTTTTTTGCTTGAATTTATTCCCTATATTATTTTTTTCGTTTAGAACATAAAAATTATATATATATATAATTTTTATGTATGCGTGTGATACTCTCTCTCTCTTTGCGATGGAGTTTATATGTAATAATTAATACTCCATCTTACAAAAAAAAATATCACCATTATTTTATTGGAAGACTCGCGAGATAAATATACTTAAACGTAATGCGGTATTGGTTCACCAAAAAGAGCTCACTTTCTATGAATAATGCTGAAAATTATAGGTAGAATGTATTGCTCATAATTTGTTGTTACAGTCCTTGTGAAAGTGTCCTAGAGTTAGGTGCGTGTAACTTAGAAATCTTCTATGATTAGTGGTTATATTAAGAAATATTTAGTGCCTACAAAATATTGAAAAAACTTGCAGTAATTTCGTTAAAATGAAGATTCCTTGGGAAATATTTCGTGGAGAGAAAAAAAAAATTCTCTCGTAGACAAAGCAACATCAGTTGGGAAATATTTTGTTGACAACACAGAAAGATAATGTGGACTATGATCGCAACTCGGGAATAATGACAATAAAAGCCAATTATGGAAAATTTGGTGGGAAATGCCGCACTTTAGCTCTCAAGAAATTTGTGTTTCTTAAATATATTGAAGATATGGACTCAATCCAATTAAGATTATGATAATTATGATGATGACTATCTTCGTAATCATATTGAAGACGACAACGATGATATAAACAGTAACGATGTAACTGTAACAGTGTAACCACTCTCTCCAGTTGTGGCCTCTATCTAATCTGTAAACAATTACATGTTCATCATGACTATATTTTATTTTTCTTAAACAGATATATTCCAAATCTTTGACCCATACCACCATCAACAAGAAAAAGCTTATGTGGCTACATATTGGGCCATGTCTTGGGATTGACTTGGGTGAATGGTCCCCTTATTTTTTATGTGATAGTTTTAACTTTTAACCAGCACTCCACTACTGAACATTTAAATACAATTTCATTGATGCTGCTTATTCTAGAGCACGTGTTCGAGTTTACAGAAGCGAGTATCGCGGTTAAATGCATTGCTGGTTAAATATTATTATTTTTCTGACAAAGGTTAAGGGATATTCTATATTGATAAATCACAATGTTTTGGATAAAAGAAACTCTTATATTACAAAAGGAAACTTAATTCGTAATAAGGATTCAATGAAGCAGAAGGCTTGAATGTTTGGTGATCATATATGTTTCTCTCTCGCCATAGTTCATAGGGATAGTGATGTGCCAGACTAGGATAGTTGCCTCGTGTAAACTAGGATAGGTCTTTAGTAAACTAGGACAGAGAGAGCAAAGCAGATGAGAAGATGACTAAAAAAATTCATAAATGATTCCAAGATGATACATTAACCGATATTTTGTTGTTTATTCATGATAATTTTTGCACTAGCTAAAAACTTCACATTTAAATTTAACATAAAAGACGTATTATCTACGATAGGAATTAGGATCTATCTAATCTTTAGCAATTTTTTTTTTTGACCGATACCAAAATTACGAGAAAAAAATAATAGAGAATATTGAAATGAGGAATCACACATGGATTTCCATTCTGTGACATTGTACTTTGGGTTCTCCACTATATTTTGTAGTACACCTTTGTTCTCGTGTCTTTAGCCTACCTGATTAAAACTATCTTCCCCAAACAGACTCCATTAATATTTTTCTAATTTTGTTTTGTTTTATTCTAAAAGGATTGACAATAATAGTTGTAGCCTCTAGGTATATCGTAAAACGTATGCCTAAATTCGTGACGTATCGAACTAGTTCTCTTCTCTCTCTCCCTGTTTTCCAACTCAAACGTATCTTCAATCTCAAATGTATTTTTAATTTGGTCAAGTCTCAAATATATCTTATGCAGATTCTTTTGTTTAGTTCTGTAGTCTCGAAAACAATGTATTTAAATTATGTTATGCAATTAGCACTATAATTGCCATTAATGTGGTCAGATGTAATGAAAATTACTAACTTAACTTAATAATGTTCAAAAAAAAAATTACTAACTTAAATCATGGTTTTAGAAATTAACCAAATAAAATCTTGTGTTAATGTGTTAATAATATTATAAATTAGTTATTGTAATTCTTTGATATATATAAACACACACAAAGCTCAATATTATTAACGATTTAATTTTCTCAAACAAAAAGGTGCTAATAATGTTATAACTCCAGTATGCGTCTATATAATAAATTACCATTCATGTATTAATATACAAAATTTGCCAATTAACGAGTTGGAAAAATATAATTTAAAAAATCAAATAAAATGTAAGTTAATTTTGGAAAAAAGTAAACTAATGCATCCCTCCCTCCCCTTACCCCGTATGGCCTTATATATTATTAGTACATAAATTATTTCTGTATATTGCTTTTGTGTAACGCAAAAAAAAAAAAAAATTCACAAAGTTACACCCCAAAAAAGGTGCGCATTACAAATCGAATCCTTTAAGGTCTAACCAAATCAACCATTAATCAGAGGTACAAATCTCCAACAATATTTTATTCCAGGACCAAAATCGAATTTCACTTTTCTAGTATATATCTAAAATAAAAATCGAAATTGCAAAATTAGAACAGAACATTGAACGAATAGGAATCACCGAATCAGAAAGAAGCAGCCTACCACAGTACTATGGAATTTTACATTACTAAGAATTAAGATATACTATATGTCGAGGATTCTTTACAGATAAAATTAATTTATGTCCGCAGGAATATAATTATGGTAAGGAAGTTAAGTAAACCCACCAATGATCTTTAGTCCCACATTTGCCTATATAAAGCAACCGCCATTCTCATCCTCTTTCACCTTCAAAATCATCATCTTTACATCAAAAACCACTCTCCTTCTCTCTCTCTCTCTTTAACCAATTAAGAAAAGTATCTAAACCGAATGAAACCGAACTAAACCGGCCCGGTCATTGTTCTCTGTCCCTCTGCTAGCTCTGTCTCGATCTCCGGTATTCCTCTTTCTCTTCTTCTGTCTTCTTCACATACATTTCATGACGGTTTCGAAACGCTCTTCTTCGCATTGTTTTCGTGACTCTTCCTCTTCTCTCCCTAAGCATTGCTAGCCAAAATTTCCTTCTTCTAAGTTTTTATTTTTGTTGTGATGAATCTTTGCAGTAGTACTAAAGAACAAGATTTTGATACTTTTGCAATGATCTCTCTGCTTTAATTTTTATTTTAAAAATGTCAGACTTTTTTTTTCCGATGAGAGACAAACACAATACCCATTCCCCCAAAATTTGTTTCCTTTATTTCCGCCAAGTGTAGAGTGAACTTAAAGACAACGTCATCACCCATCTTCTCTTAGACATTTCTTCGAACACGTTACGTTCATTCCCCAAAACAATCTCTTATATCACCTTCAATGAAATCGTGTTCAGCAAATAAACATAAACCCATAAGCAAGGTTCTCACAATTCTCGGTTTTGTTTTCAGTTTTTCGCAGAATCATAACAAAAAATGGCGTCGAAGAACGAGAAGAAGATGACGAAGAGTTACTTCGATGTTCTTGGAATCTGCTGTACATCGGAGGTTCCGCTGATTGAAAATATCCTCAAATCGCTCGACGGAATCAAGGAATATTCCGTCATCGTGCCGTCAAGGACCGTCATCGTCGTCCACGACAGTCTCATCATCTCCCAGTTCCACATTGGTAAAGCTTTCATACAAAAAAATTAATTTAAAAGACACACATTTCTCGTTTTTTTTTTCCTCTGTGGCTAATTTAATAAAGGTCCCATTCACAATAATGGCAAATATTGATCGGGTTTCGCGTTGCGAACGTCATTTTCAGATATTTAATTACGCGAGCTACTCACACTTGAAACTGAACCGGTTAATTTATTTATTTTGACATAATTGAACGGTTTTTAAATCTAACATTTATATCAAAAACATTCACTTACATGCACCAACATTTATATATGTAGATAAATAGTAGATTAGTTAGTTACAAAAAAAAAAAGTAGATTAGTTAGTTACAACTTACAAATCTTCTACAAAAATCACCAAGTCCAACTAGTACTTTTGTTCAGTTTTGTGACTTTTGTCTCTAGCCCCTAGGATAACTATATATGTAAACAACACTGTGAGCTTTATATTACGTAACGCATCATCATTCACATGATTAACGTTCCTTTCTAAAAATTTTAATTTTTTGTTTCAACATTTTTTTTTTGTCATTGACTCATTATTTTAGTGGTGGATAGTTAGATGACAATGCAATATCTATTGCTCAATATAAATGTTAATTATATATAATGATTATTTTTAAGTAATTATCGTGGTTGCAGTTAAGGCACTTAACCAAGCGAGGTTGGAAGCAAATGTAAGGGTAACCGGAGAAACCCATTTCAAAAATAAATGGCCAAGTCCGTTCGCGGTGGTTTCCGGCGTGCTTCTCCTCCTTTCCTTCTTCAAATATGTTTACTCTCCGTTCCGTTGGCTCGCTGTCGCAGCCGTTGTCGCCGGAATTTATCCCATACTCGCTAAATCTGTAGCATCCATTGCAAGGTCTAGAATCGATATCAACATACTTGTTGTAATCACCGGTAATGTTTTCGTTTTTTATTCTTCTCTACTTTTTAAGCTATATTTAAGATATGCTCTGATGAGGAGTATAAAATCTCCTTTTTTTTTGTAGATATGAATCACATTTTCATTTAAGGCAAATGTTTTAAAAATACTAATGGTTAGAGTAGATAGAAGTATGTGTCTATATAATATGGGATGGGTCACTTTAGAATATTATGGTCAACTCAAAGTAATTGTTCTGTAGTTTTTATGTTGTTTTCTCTGCATTTGGACCTTTTTAATGCTACTTTGAGACCAAAAGAGAAATGAAAAAGCAAACAAATAATAGTGCTTTCTTGCAAACCTAACAATAACACAAACATGTTAAAGCATATATTTTAACTAAAACCCGAAAGCATAAAAAATTGGTGACAAAAAGACAAAAGAACTTTAGATATAACAGATTTTTGTTTTTAGTTTGCGATTTTTCAAATGGTCTGTATTTTTTGTTTTGTCATGGATTCTTTACATTAATAATTCTAAACTTTGAGCTATAGAGGGATTCTGAGTTGAATCCAGATGGCGGTATTTTCGTGTTCAAAATGATCTTTGTATGTGGGAATGAAAAAAACGATTTCTTGAACATAAAACTATTTTACGAAATAGGTGATAAAACATAAATTAAAAGTGGATGCAGGCATGCAGCACTGCAGCAGATAGGCCTAACAAATGTTTTCATAAAAGGAAAATTTAATCTTTCTTATTCGCCAGAATTTTTTATTTTTTATTCAACAAAATATATACATTTTCCTTTACCAAAAAGACTTATCTTTGTTAAATTCGGTTTTGACGGTTTTTAACTTTTTGGTAAAGGAAAATTTTCGAAGATATTTTATTTGTTTATCCTTTACAATCCCGACACAAAATAGATAAATTAATTTCAGACATTAGTTCAAAATTTAATTTAAGGAAAAAGATTAGTAGAAGATGAAAAAAAAAGAAGATCAGAGCTTCGACTGATATTGAAGTTGGATTAGCCATAGTTGTCGAGTTTTTCAAATGTTAAATGGTTGATGAGTCTTCTTCGATTGATCATGTTGGAGCTTAAAGTTATAGATACTAAATTACTCACTTCTTGAATGATTCTCCACAATTAAAGAACTCTTTGATCTCATATTAGCTAATACTCTTCCAATGTGTCAATCAGTGGGAGCAACACTCGGTATGCGAGATTACACAGAAGCTGCAGCAGTTGTCTTCTTATTCACAATCGCTGAGTGGCTTCAATCAAGGGCTAGCTATAAGGTTTTGTTTCCACCATTTTCCTTTTCTTTTATTGCAAGTTTCAAAGTTACTGTGATTGCTCAAGTATTTGGCTTTACTGTAAAATAAATTGCAGGCAAGCGCGGTGATGCAGTCGCTGATGAGTCTAGCTCCACAGAAGGCAGTGATTGCAGAGACTGGAGAAGAAGTTGAAGTGGATGAGCTCAAGATCAACACAGTTATAGCAGTCAAAGCTGGTGAAACCATACCAATTGATGGAGTCGTTGTGGATGGAAACTGTGAGGTTGATGAGAAAACCTTGACAGGTGAAGCATTCCCCGTGCCTAAACTGAGAGATTCAACGGTTTGGGCTGGAACCATCAATCTAAATGGTATCAAAAAGGCTCAAGCTTTACACTTTTTTTTTTCTTCTCTGTGTGATACTTTTTCAAGATTTGATCTTTCTAGATCCTCTGTTTTTCAAGGTTTGATCTTTCTAGCTCCTCTGTTTTTCAAGGTTACATAACTGTGAAAACCTCTGCTCTAGCTGAGGATTGCGTGGTTGCGAAGATGGCAAAGCTTGTGGAAGAAGCTCAAAACAGCAAAACAGAAACTCAGAGATTTATAGACGAATGTTCCAAGTACTACACTCCAGGTTAGTAACAGAACTGATTTTTTTGGTTCAGTCATTACATCTTTTTTTCTGTGTTATTGAGTCGTGTAGTGATTTGAGACCTCATATTCTACTTCTTGTATGCAGCGATCATCCTAATATCGCTCTGTTTTGCGGTTGTTCCACTCGCATTGAAGGTTCACAACCCGAAACATTGGTTTCACTTGGCACTAGTTGTGTTAGTAAGTGCTTGCCCTTGTGGTCTTATTCTCTCAACACCGGTAGCCACTTTCTGTGCGCTCACTAAGGCAGCCACATCAGGACTTCTGATCAAAGGAGCTGATTATCTTGAGACCTTAGCCAAGATCAAGACCGTTGCTTTTGACAAAACAGGGACCATCACTAGAGGAGAGTTCATCGTCATGGATTTCAAGTCACTCTCCAGAGATATAAGCCTGCACAGCTTGCTTTACTGGTGAGACATCTGTTCTCAACCTTTTAAACATTTTAACTAATACGCCTACGGTTTTGTGGATTTTGCCTGAGAGTATATGACTTTTATTAGGGTATCAAGCGCAGAGAGCAAGTCAAGCCATCCAATGGCTTCTGCACTTGTGGACTATGCCAAGTCTGTCTCTGTTCAGCCTAAGCCTGAAGCGGTCGAGGACTACCAGAACTTTCCAGGAGAAGGAATTTACGGGAAGATTGATGGCAAAGAAGTCTATATCGGTAACAAAAGGATTGCTTCCAGAGCTGGGTGTTCATCAGGTACATATTCACATGTTCTTGAGCTTTTCAGTTTTTTTGGTTTTTTCTTATTATCAGATGGTTTTTGCTTTGGTTGTACGTACTCAGTTCCAGATATTGATGTTAATACCAAAGGAGGAAAGACTGTTGGATATGTCTATGTTGGAGAAACACTGGCTGGAATTTTCAATCTCTCAGATGCTTGTAGATCTGGTGTAGCTCAAGCGATGAAAGAACTGAAATCTTTGGGAATAAAGACTGCAATGCTAACCGGAGACAATCAAGCCTCGGCAATGCAAGCTCAAGAACAGGTGAGAATCAGTTTTTTGAGTTTGATGCTTCTCTTGAAATTTAGTTTTCATTGATGTAAAACTTGATATGGTTGTATGAATAACAGCTAGGGAATGCTATGGATATTATTCGTGCGGAACTTCTTCCAGAAGGTAAATCCGAAATCATCAAAGAGTTTAAGAGAGAAGGGCCAACGGCTATGGTAGGAGACGGGTTGAATGATGCACCAGCTTTGGCTACAGCTGATATTGGTATCTCCATGGGAATATCTGGCTCTGCGCTTGCAACAGAGACAGGTCATATCATTCTGATGTCTAATGACATAAGAAGAATACCACAAGCGATAAGGCTTGCACGCAGAGCAAAAAGAAAAGTGGTGGAGAATGTTGTCTTGTCCATCACTTTGAAAGGAGCAATTCTTGCTTTGGCCTTTGCTGGTCACCCGTTGATTTGGGCAGCTGTGCTTGCTGATGTAGGAACTTGTCTGCTTGTGATCCTCAATAGCATGTTGTTGCTTCGGGATACGAACACTCCTGGCAACAAATGTCATAGGGCTTCTTCTCCCTCTGTTTTGAACACGGAGAAACATGAAGGTGATGTTGTTGGGGATATGGAAGCAGGCTTATTACCAAAGAAGAGCAGTGATAAGCATTGCAAGTCAGGCTGTTGTGGAAAGAAGAATCAAGAGAAAGTGATGAAACCAGCAAAGCCAAGTTCAGACCATGGTCACTCTGGTTGTTGTGACAAGAAACAGAAAGACAATGTAAGGATTAATGTGAGAAACAGCTGTTGTGCAGAACCTGGTGATTTAGAACAAGGCCGTGACTCTGGTTGTTGTGGTACCAAGATTCACCAAGACAAGGTGAAACAAAGCTGTCATAACAAGGCTGGTAACTCGGAGGAGATAGTCCTGGACGTTAGTGATGGAGATTGCAAGTCGGTCTGTTGTGAAACTGGCTCAGAACTACAACAAGGTTCTTCAACCTTGGTCAATCTTTATGAAGAAGTGAAAGTTTCGGTCAAAGGTTGTTGCTCAAGCCCTGCTGATCCTGTGATAGCTAGCTTGAAAGTGAAGAGCAATGGGCATTGTGAGTCAAAGTGCTGTGAAAATTCTGAGAAGGCTAAAGAAGAGATCTGTTCAGAGGTGAAAACGATGGACTCTAAGTTTAGCAGCAGAGAGAGAAGCCACAGTCACCATCACCACCACCATGCGTGAAAGAGATTGTAATTGAATAGCATTAGCTTCTCACTTACATTTGTACTAATAACCTTTCATCAGAGATGATGATATATTGATAGAGAAACTATGTGATTCATGAAGGAAATGTGAATGAATCCTTTTCGCTTTCCTTTTAATCTTCTCCTGTTATCAAATAAGGGTTCAGAACAAAGTCAAAAGAGAAATCTGTTTAAGAGAACCCTTAACTGAATATATGATTCTTCATTGATCAGATATGATAAAAAAAAAAGTTTAATAAGAAAGAAATGGAATGAAGAAAAAGATATCAAAGATTGTGTACTAAACGCCAACACAGAGGACTGGCCAGTGTGGTGTAATGATCCTCAACTTTTGCAGATTAAACAAATCATCCCAAACTCTTTTATTTCCCCAACTCACTGAGAAGATCTGGAAGTAAAGGGGTGCAAGTTCTTTGTAAAAATTTGCAGGAATCATCTCTTGCCAACACATATCAGGTGAGCATGTTCAACCTTTGACGTATTAATTTAATTCAAGAAAGAAAAAACAGAGAAGTGATCCTTCTCTTCTTAGCTCTTTTACATAGCTTTGCATTGATTCTACTTTGATAAACTTGAGTGATTAAGAGTAAGACGTTAGTTCTGCTTATGTCCAAATTATGTTATTTGGTTTGGAAAGCATGCTACGAGATTCTTCAGTTCTTCTTACCCCTCAAGCTATCTTATCTGATTACTTTGTTTTTGCCACTCTCTCGTCTTCTCCTCTGTTTTTTTTTTTAAATTTATTATTTTGTTTTGGTCCCTGTTTACGTACTTTGCTTCTACATCACTACATGTTATCATAATGGATCTCCAACTTTTACTCATCTCTTAATTAAGATAATTAACCTCAATATCCTGAATGTTCTTGGATCGTCGTGCTCTACGCTTTAAACGTTAATGACATTCTAAAATGCAAAACTTGTGAGAATGTGGTGAGAAGTTCCTAACTATTAAGTGGCTAAATAGTTTCATATGTTGTCTCTTCTACTCTTTCGAAGGACATTGTTTCTCAACTTCAAGTTGTCGTTAAAGGTGTGATTCGCTGCTCTGCTTTTACTATTCTGTTAGAGGCTTGGTGCTTGTTAAGGTGAGTACGAATTAGGCTACTCCTTGTCCATGGACTATTTCTAACAGAGTTTCTTGGATTGGTTTGACTTTTACTATTCTGTCAGAGGTTTGGCCATATTCTGTCAGAGATTTGAATGGATCACTGAGTAAAGGATGATGTTGATTAGGCATCAACTAGAAGTTTATATCACCTTGCGCTGTGTGTATAGAGAAGTCGACATTGTTTAATGACAAAAATCAGAAACCAGATATGTTCATCGTTAAACCCCTCTAAGAAGTTGTAAGTTTGTATAAGTGAGTAAGTGACTAAGAGAGACTTTCATATTTTAGATTTGGGACCCCAATCTTCTTATATCACTAGATGAAATGACCAAAGCTCTCCTTTGTTTAATTCATAAGCCCGTATTCAAGCCATTGGTGTTGGTCAGTTATCAAACAACTATAATAAAATTAAGTTAACCGGGGTAGAGCTTTCTACTACTGTCCAGAACATGTGAATAAAATAAATTAAACATAATAAACATAAATCAAAAAGGAAAAAAGAAGGAATCGAAAATGAGAATACGATGTTCATGGTAAGAAAATTAGATGCTTTCCAAAGTCATAATTTGTTTGTGTGTACTTTGATATCTTCACACTTTCCTCTACTCTTGATATATACACATTATTCTCGTTATTCTCTTGTGTAGCTGCACTTATATTTAAATATCTACCTCCCAAAGAACCTTTATCTCACTTTTTATATATTCAAATCTCAACTTCTAAGAACCTTTCTCTCACTTTCTAAGACAGAGAAAGGAAATGAAGAATCTAGGTTTTCTCCTCTTTCTCTCTTCCCTCGCGGTGGCACAGGCGGTGGACATTGGCTCTCGCAAAGTGGAAGATACCGCAAGAGACATCATCATCTCCTTAGCCAACACCAAATTCCAAGAATGGTCAGCTGCTTTCATCTCTACCAATGACAAGACTCTTGGAGAAGTTTTACGAGCCACACTCTTCATTCCCAATGCCTCAAGGTACGACTCTCAGTATAAGATAATGTTTTACCTCTATACAAAACCAACTAACCACACATAACAGAATAAAAAGAAATTCATGATTAAAGTTAATATTAAACCGAAATTTGTTTTTACATGTGTAATTTGAGGGGGTTTTTTTTTTAGTCTTTGACAACAATCCATAAGCACTACTGAAATATCGGGGTTAAATTATAATTTTAGTTCAGGAAAATAAGTGATTGTATGTAAATTACACTTTGTCAACTATATTTATTAAAATAATATTGTAATGCACTTTATGTATTGTATATGTTTTAATTAGTTCCGCAACTGAGAAATACAACGGTGATCGACGAGTTGCTGCGTACCACGTCGTGCCGGAAAAAATGGAGTTTAACGACCTTCTTGCCAAGAAGGATAAAACTCGAGTGAGTACGCTTCTTGGAGGATTCTCAATTCTGGTTCGCAACACATCCCAAGGTGGTTTAACTCTTGATGGTGTGAATCTAACAGAGCCTGACATCTTTGTCAATTCCTTCATGGCCATCCACCGTATTTCACATCCACTTGATTTCACAAAATACGGCACCAGCGACGTCGTCAAGCCAAAATCACAACTTCCATCTAAAGCAAAGTTGCCACCTAAATCAGAGTTCTTAGCTTTTATGGTCATTTCAGCGCTCATTTGCTTCACTATCTGGTTTATCCTCTCCCGCCGTTAAGTTCTTATTTCTAAGCTTTTTTTTCCAAGGATCATGTTGCAATATTTGCTAATTAGGCAATGTAGTTTTGGTTTCTTGGCAATAAACGTTTTAACTTTGAAAATTTAAGTTTCATTTTTACTATTTCCTTTGATTACATGTTATTCTGAAAGAAATTTGAAACCATAAGGGGAATGTGAGTGGAACATATAACCTGACTTGATTAGATCTAGCTAGGACCATATATAGAAACATACTATAGTTTCAATAGAACAATAAAGTTAACGAAGAACAAATGGTTGAAATTTTACAAGCGCCCAACTTATGATCTTTTAATAAACGAGTACCACTTTGAAAATTTTATATTCAAGAATATATTACAAATCTTTCTAACAAAAAAAAAGAAGAAGAAAGATTATAATTTTTTTACACTTAAAAACAATTTATTTATCATAAACATTGAAAGTTTCAAACATTAAATATTTATGACTTATCCTCAAAACTTAAATTTATCCTTACACAGAAAAATATAATAAGTATGACATATGTTACTCCGAATCCGATGAATACTCTGATATCAATTCATCGGAAGCAAACATACTTTGTGGAAAATGGGAAAGCCCCAATTTATCAAAGTCCAGCTCGGGATTCAAGTTCCATTCTAGTAGCTATATCTTCATGAGCAACCTCTTCGCGTTTGGCTCCTCGCATCTTGGACAGCTCTCTGAATATCGTTATCGCAAGACTTGACCAAGGCTTGCAATCGATACGGAATGACACTACGAATTGGTATGGAATCGCACAAAGAATTGTTATGACAAAAATTGTAGTGACTTTAATCACATGGCCACCGATAAATAGTATCATGATTATCGAATGATACTGTTCATTAGATGAAGTGGGCTAGTGGTTAAGTACATGGGTTGGTCCCATGTGCTTCTAGTTTTATTTTCAGTGGGAAGATGTTTTACGCCATGTTATTAGTTATTAGCAAAGACTGATCCCAGGTCATTAGGAGATTAAGGCCCATACCTGAAGGTAGTTTATATATATATTTTGTGTCTAAACATGATTTTTTTAGTTTTTCATTATTCTGTTTTTAGATAATTGTTATTTTTGTTGTTAAACAAATTAATTTTATCAACTAGTAATAAAAAATATTTTAGTATATACAAATTTAATTCTGAAATTCAAACATTAGATTAGAATTTTTTAGATTTACTGAATTATAAATTAACAAAAAAATCAGTTATTATATTTACAAAACTAACAAATCATATATTAATTTAGACGAATATTCTAACTAAATATTATCTATATTTTAGAAAGATCAAAATATCTAATAAAATATGAATAGACGGGTTAAAAGTATATTTTATAATTGTGATCTTTAATATTATAAAAATATATCTATAAAAATATCTAAATACAAATTAAATATTTTTTCACTTATTAAAAAATATTATTATTTATATAAATTCTAAAACCATAATTATATTAGAAAATTCAATAACAAAAAGAATTTCCGTACGGATGGATGCAGAAATAAGTTTATTTATATCAGGGTGTAGGCCACGACTGTTGTGCTGCAAAAATCTTTAAGTTTGAATTTTAAACGGTTGACTGTAAATTTTTAGACTGTGATTTTCTTATTTAATTTATGATTGTGACTTTGAAAAAAAAATCACATATTCTGGCTTTAAAAAAAGCAACAGATAAATCAAACCATGTGAACAAAAAAAAAAGAATCAAACCATGTGTCAGCTTCTGAAACCAAAAACCCTAAATAAAAAAAAATTGAAAGAAAAAAAAAAACAATGCTAAAATAAAACTATTGTCGTCAATCTGCTTCTGTACTAAGGCCATCTACAAGATCGAACAAGAGATTTTTACACTCAGATTGACGACAATAGTAACGAAATTGATTTGGCCACAAGTCACCTGGAAGCTTGTTTCGCAAGTCACCGTAAGGGTATCCCCTATGATTCTTCCATGCCCCCCAAAGCCGAATATAAGCTCGAGCTTTGTTTTGTAGGAATATAGATCGGTCCATGTCATTGGTTGATGTCTGAAGTTTGTATTTTTCATCCGCTTCTCTTTGCCATTCTCCAATCATATCTGTGAAGATACTGAGATAGTCAATCTCCGACGGGTCCGGTCTGAATGGTTTTATCTTAGAAAAAGGATTTTTATCTATCCAATATCTTGCCATGGAAGATTGGACTAAAAGGAAGAGGATGAAGACTTTTATGGCCAGAGACATCGTTGGAAGATCGAATAGGAGTTTTGGGTTCAAAAAACGGATGATAAGTTTGTGTTTATATAATAGAAGTTTGGCCAATCCTTTTCCAATCGGGATTAGGGTTTTAACGCTTAGCTAATTAAATTTTGCGAACTCATTTCCGTATATATCGTTTTGTGTATTGATAATTTATTAAACAACAAAAAACAACATTAATTAAACAGGGGTTGAACTTGAAATTTTTTTATATATTAGACCATGTGAAAAATAGGATCAAAAAGAAAATAAAAAGGGAAGTGGAAAAGAAATCGATGGATTTGTGAATCAGTTGACCTTAATTAATTGCAATGTTCGGTTGATTTACAAGGAGAAAAAAAAGTCTATATCCTTTTAACGTTATTAAAATTAAAAATCATGTAAGAAGATATTATACTTATCTGATATTCAAAATTAAACCTATAACTTATTTGCATTAAGGACTCTAAACATTTTTTAAAGAAATAACCCCGTTTATTAAATGGGAAAACACGCACACGCTGATGTCATATAACACGGCGCTTGATGATAAGACCATCAAATAGTCTAACCTCTTATGATCTTATCCGTTCTAAGAAATAACAAAAAATTCCACATAGTAAAATCTCTAATTTGAAATCTAAAAAATATTGTATTAGTACCAAAAAATCCTACAAGGATAAAATCTTTGATCCAAGTTCTTCTCGTTCTGAATCTTTCACTGAACGTGAGACAAAAAAAAAAGATATTTCCTACCGAAAATGACGACATGACGTTTAAAAAAAAACGAAAATGACTTTTAAGGCGCCGAAGAAACCAACTCCAGCCTTCCTCTATCACTCCAGATAAAATCAATTGAGGTTGTTATACCGTCAAACCACACTCCTTCCGGAAATCTCTCCCTATCTAGTTTAGACAGCAACCCTCTCAACGAAGTCAGGCACGCTCTTGTTTACGTTTTTGAAGCAAATGAGAAGAACCAAAATGATCCGGTCCTTTTGCTTAGGAAGGCTTTGTCCGAACTTCTTGTGTACTATAATCCACTTTCAGGCAGGCTAGTGACACTAAAAAATGATCGAAAGTTTCAGCTGGTTTGTAATGGAGAGGGAGTCCCATTTACGGTCGCTACCGCAGCTCCTGACCTCCGCTCTCTAAACTATATACAAGACTTTGTTGATGAATTTGCTTTGCATCTTGTGCCTGAGATCGAGTTTAACTATGTTAGTGAGAACGGTTATCCTCCTCTCGCTATGCAGGTATATCGTTTAATTTTCATTCTGCGGGTAATATAACTCATATATATATTAGAAATATCATCAAAGTCTAAATGAACAAAGATAATCGATCGGTCTCTTTTAATTTGGAAGGTGACCAAGTTTTATTGCCGAGTTGGCCGGTGGAAAGAGCGAGCCAACGGTAGTGCCCGTATGGCAGAGAGAGCGGCTAGTTATGAAAATTGAACCGGGTGCCGGTGCCGGTTCTAGATCGAGTCTTTTGACCACTTTACCGTATATGCCAAGTAATGATTTGGTATGTTTATAAATCTTTTTTTCCTTTTTTGGTCTAGGTAAAGAATCATTTGATAAATAATAAAAATGGTAATTTCGAGGATGTAAAAGTATATTTTACAAGTATATCACCTAAGAATTAAAATTTTGTATTTAGAGTAAAGCTTCTTTAATTTTGTAATATGAGCTAGAGTTATGTTAAACAGAAATAATCACATTTTAATAAGTGAGAAATACTGAATTGTCACCGAAAGTGATATTTGTGTACATATACTATACGATCCACAGGTTACGGAGATAATAAGCATTAAGGCTGGGAATATAAGAATGCTTAAAAGCTACTTTGGTTAGGGAATGTGAATTCGAGAAGGAGAGTTATACTACTTATGAAATTCTTAGTGCGTGCTTATGGAAATCAAGATCTCGAGCACTAAACCTAGATCTTGACAAGATTACTGTCCTTGGCATAATTGTGGGAATCCGACATGTTCTTGATCCGCCACTATCCGAGGGTTACTACGGAAACTCAATCATAGACGTGTACATCGAGTTAACCACAAGAGAGCTCTATGAAGCATCGATTTCTGACATTGTAAAACTCGTGAAGAGAGCCAAGAAAAAAGCTTATGACAGGAGGTATGTCGAGGAGGTGCTAAGAAACACCGAAAGAATGATTAAGGAGGATGTGAAATTCGGCGACGTAATCGATGGATCATTGTTCATGACCGATATGAGAAATGTCGGGTTTTTTGGATCGATGGATTTTGGTTGGAACGAGCCTGTCAATCTGAGGGGTCTGATGTTTGAAGAAAGCGCCAAGAACATGGGTATGATCTTGAGACCATCCAAGCTAGGATTAGCAATGGAAGGTGGGGTTAGAGTGGTAATGACATTGCCGAGAGATGCAATGGTTAAGTCCAAGCAAGAAATGGATGATATGATGTATCTTCGTCCTCGCTTTTGATGTTTTTTTTTATGGTAAGAATTTGAAGCTACTCTTGAACTTTCTATAAACGGGTAAGTACTGAATCGGAATCGGAATCTAGTGGAGCATTTTGTAAACTACCTTAAACCATGGGATTACCCTAAAGAAGGTGGCAACCATCCATGCATATAGAATCATAATTTAGTGAAATATCCTCTTTACTAAAATTAAGATAGGGCGGCAAAGAACCACATTCTCAACATGAAAAGAAGAAAGAGAATCACAAATGGACTGAAAATAATTGAATGCTTAAATATGCTCTTGTTCTTTTATATGATACAGTTATCTTTTAGGGGTTTTTGCTAAAAATAACCCAAAACTTGATTTTGAATACAAAAGTAAACCTCTGAAAAAATATTTGGCAGAAATAACTTAAAAAGGTAGTGAAAAGACTATTTAATCCTGTATGAGTAAACAAAAAACGGATATTCTAATTACCGTTTACTCCCTGATGAAGTCTACTAAAGTGAAAATGAAGTCTACTAAGTAATTAAATCTGTAAATTTAATTTAAAAATTTATAAAAAATTATTTTGGTATGAAATTTACCATCATAAATTCCGTAATCGTAACCCAAATGCACAAAAATTATATTTTCACATTGGTAGATGGAAATATATGTTTTTAAATTAAGTAGAAATAAATTTATTATTTAGGTTTTAAAAATTGTAGACTTCGATATTGAAGTCTACTAAACCGAATAAAACTAAAATTTCTGAAATTGAGATTTAACCGAAATTGAACTAAACCAAAAAAAAATTCTCTGTCATATAAAATGAATTTTACTAAAGAGAAAACAAAGAAACCCTAGCCGTTTCACTCAAACTGTGTAACAGGTGATTTCTTTGCTGTGTAACAGGCGATTTCTTCGACCATCTCTTACTCAGGTAAAGTTTTTTCTGTGTAGCATCTCATTCTGCTTTAGAGATGATTATTATTCTTATTTTTTTTGCCATCGTCTCATTCTGTAGATCTCGATCTAGGTTTTTTTTTTCTTCAACAATGGATCTTATTGCAGAATCGTTGGCTAAGCTCTTTTCCAAATAAACTGATTTATTGAAATGACTTTGGTTCTAGAAAATAAAACTCAGAAATTTTCTTTCTTTTTCTTTGAGTGTTCGTAAAAATGATAAAAGTTTCGATTTTAGTTTTTGGGTCTTGATTGCTCCGCTCAATTCACGTTTCCATGTGGTGATTGAGGATTCATGGTTCTTCAACTATCGGAATTTAGGGTTTATGATCGTTTTTGGAATCTGGTGTCAGGGATTTAACAAAATGGGTAAGCATAGGAAGAGAGAAACTGATTCGGAAGATGTAACTCCATCTTCAGCATCGTCCTCTTCGTCTTATTCTTCGTACAGCTCCGATGAGTCCGGTTCGTCTTCTAGAAAGCGGAGGAAGAAGCGAAGGGAGCGGCAGAAAAGTGACGGTGGTTATGAGAGAGAGAACCGGAGGAATTGAAGAGGGAGAAGGAGAAGAAGAGGAACAAGATGGAGAGGATTACCTTAGCTCTTCTGATTTTGCCAGAGCCAAGTTCTATGTTCGAGCTGCAGAATCCCAACTTGTAAGCTCTACCTTGTTTTCTCCTTTTAGTGTCTATGATTCTGTCTAAGCAAAGAAATGAACTCCACAAGTATATAATCCAATGAGCTTGGTGTTGTTGACCTCCAAAATTCATTCGTTTTAGGGGAAAGCCACGGCGTATGAGAAAGAAGTTTTCAAGGCTGTTAACTACTTGATCTCTGAGAATATGGACGAAGATGTGGCTTTGGAGTTACATTCTAAGGTTATTACGTTTCTTGGTTGTTATGTGTGCTCTCATTCGGATGTATCTTTCCTTCCTAGCAGTTATTCTAACTCTGATATACAACTCTTTATGTTTTGCAGCTCTTAACAAAATTTCCCAAAGATTTGGGAGCAGCTGTGTCATGTTCTTCAAACTGAATGTCGTTTCAAGGAAGCAGTAGAGTTCATGGAAGAATGCTCAGCCTCGTGGGATTCTTGCTCTTCCTTAAGGTAACAAAGTATATACATCTTCTTATCATATCTGAAATCGCCTATTAAAGAAAACTAAATTTTTTGCAACAATCAGGTATTCGCATAATTGGTGGCATGTCTTAAGCTCTGAGAGTTCCTCTGCTTCTAGTCTCCTTTAACTATGTGACAACTTTTCCTGTTCTTTACTAGTACCACTTTTAGCAGATGTGGAATGGTGTTTGCTTTTTATTTTTGTAAAAGGAATCTTGTAAATTATTTTTTGATCGCCAGAAATGTGACAGGTTGGTGTGGCTTACTTGCTAGCTTTAGAGAATGCAAACGAATTGACTGTATCCCCAACAGAAAATATCGAATATGACAGGTAAATACAATTTTCACTTTAATGTAACTAAGAAGCTCATCTTTATTGTTTCATGAGCAGTTGCCTCCTGTAAAATCAGCAATTAGTGCTGCAGATTGGTCGACTTACATGCGATTAATTGCATCTGCAGACTCATTGAGAATGGGTATCTGGGTCTGCGGAATGGAATTTTGGATCAATCAGCTATTTTGCTTTCGAGTTTTGGGTGTCTAACATACATGAACTGCAAGGTAAAATTTCCTTGATTTATTAGTGATATTCAAAAAAAGTTAGAAGCTTGCTCATGTGGTAACGACAACGTTCACAATTCTTTTCTTAGAAACATGAATGTTGCTTGCCCATCTTTATTTTCTTCCAGAACTGCCATCTCAGAAGAATGGTTTGAAATATGCAGTCTATGGACCACAAGCTCGTACGGGCTCCTGAATTTAAGAAACCGTTCAGGATATTATTAGCAGTCTCAGGCTTGAGGCAGGCATTGACCACGAACCCAGGATATAATCTGCGAGTTGCTGAGTATCAAGAGGCCGCTAAAGTCCTTTTGACGTATGTGCAAATCTACTGAATTCACACTAATCTGCACAATCTTTTGTTCTGTTAACTCGCTTATCTGCATAAACGCCTTCTTTATATTTTAAATTTTTGTGGAAATGCTCTAAAGTGTATTACTTGCTCTATTGCTTGTGATACTCATAATTGGTGGCATGTCTTAAGCTCTGAGAGTTCCTCTGCTTCTAGTCTCCTTTAACTATGTGACTATGTTGTTTAAGAATCGTTTGTCCTGTACTCCTGTCTCTTTGGAATAAAGTTTCGTTTGTGTTGGTGTTTGGATAATCTGTCGTCTCCAGTGACCTGTCCTAATCACGAAATGTGATCTTTGTTTTATGGTTACACTTTCTACTTCGAGGTAGGATCAAATGTGATGTTTCTTACTTTCTTTACAGTGACATTAACTATTCTACTCTCAAAACTACGATAAAAGTACTAATAGTAAATTAGTAACACACTAACACTTTATTTTCTGAACTGAAATAGTAACAGTATAACACACTAACACTTAATTGCCTATAAAATACGCCAAATTCATACAAAAAAAATTGGATTGATGTCACTAGCAACATAACTTACAAATGCCTAACAATGTACCAGAAATTTAATGATTCCAAAGGAACTTTTGAATCTTTGAATCAAAACAATACTAAAAATTATGGGTTTAGGACTTCGTGTTTTTTTTTGGATAATGATCATCAAGTGTAATGGTATCTATTGGTCATCATTTGTAATGAGCATAAGTGTATTGGTCATGTTATGTATTTTTATCACATAAGACAACACATTATATCTAAAGCCACATAAAAGAACATTAGTAGACTACACGACGAAGTCTACTTTGATAAACTAAGTACCTAAAAAATCGAAACTTCTGATTCAACAATAAATATCCAATAAATGAAATAAAATTCACTGGATAGTTCAATCACTTACTAAGAAGCAATTCTAAACAAAAAAATTTGAAAAATAGTTTATAAATTTGCTTAAAACGCGTTTTAAAAAAAACGTCAAAAGTAGACTTCTAAAGCAGACTTCGAATGTAGACTGGAAGAGAAGTCTACTTTGATAAGCTAAGTACCTAAAAAATCGAAACTTGTGATTCAACAATAAATATCCAATGAAATGAAATAAAATTCAATGGGTAGTTCAATCACTTACTAAGAAGCAGTTCTGAACCAAAAAATTTGAAAAATAGTTTATACATTTGCTTAAAACGCGTTTTAAAAAAAACATAAGAAAGTAGACTTCTATAGTAGACTTCAATTGTAGACTGGAGGAGAAGTCTACTTTTTCATCGAGAAATCTACTAATGAAGTCTACTTAAAAAAAGGTCATTTTTGCAATTGACCAATTTGTTGATTTTTCCTTCAGTAGACTTCAAGAGTAGACTTTAGGCAAAAAAGGTTACTTTAGCAATTGACCAATGCGTTGACTAACATAGTAGACTTCTATTGTAGACTTCATGTAAGAGTAGACTTCTCTGGCAGTCTACTTTTGAAGTCTACTTTTTAAATAGAAGTCTACGGAACAAAATATGTTATTTTTGCAATTGAATTTTTTTAGTAGACTTCACGATGAAGTCTACTCAAAAAAAGATTCCTTCCAAGTTTGACCGAACACAATAAGTAGACTTCATAAAGAAGTCTACAAACTGTAGACTTCTTTGGGAAGTCTACTGAAGTTTTTTAGGATTTTTTAAATTTTTTAATTTTTGAAAAACATAAGTCAAACACAAAAATGACCTATACGTTTTTGGTCAAACTACAAAAGTAACTTTAAAGTAGACTTCGTATGCAGACGTAAGCACTAGACTTCATACGGAAGTCTAAATCAAAAAGTCAAAATACGGTCAACTACAAAAATAACCTATTTTCTTTAGTAGACTTCTTGAGCCTTCAAACGAAGTCTACTAAGCTTTTTTTGTTTTCAAAGGATGTCGAGTAGACTTCTCGTGAAGTTTAACGAAGTCTACTTTTAAAAAGTCAATTGCAAAAATAACCTTATGTTGACTAGTAGACTTCAGTATACTTCACGAGAAGTCTACTTTCGCGATATGAAAACTGAAATATGGAGAAATTGAAGTGCGACGATTACCTTTTACAAAATTGAGCTCGGCTACAGTTCTTTTAAGCACCCAGAACTCAGAATATCACCAAAAATAAGCAACTCAGATGTTAAGTAACCAGAAATCACCAAAACTGCATGATTTTTGGCATTGTAACTTAGCCCAGATGTTTTGGAGAAGAAATTATGAAAGAATGAGGAAGGTTATGAGTGAATGAGCTTAAATATTTACTTATTACAGCTTTAAAATTGGTTGATAAGCATTTATTCCATTTTCATGGTTGTTCATGGTGGTTGAAAGTATTGAAGACGATGGCATTCTCGTAATTAAAAAGTCTTTAGAAAGTCCAAGAAGACTTTAGCCAATTAAAGAAAAATCGAATTATTAGATGTGTAATGGCATTTTCGTTAATAGTTTAAGTGGGAAAGATAAATTGTGAGAAAATGATAAAAGTTGGAAAAAGAAAAAAAAGAGGTTAGTTTTGTGTTTGACTTTGAAATATGGGTTAAATATGAAACTCTCCCTATCTTTTATCTTTTATTATGTAAAAGTCAATCTGTCGAACAAAAAAAAATGTAAAGGTCTATCTAATTTATTAAATGGTATTCTAATAGAATAAAATACACGATTCTAATGGAAAAAACAAAAACAAAAAGAAATACACAATTCATAGATGACGTGTTGGATACTTATACAGTTATACTTTCATAGCCATTCAAATTGAAATGTGTCAGCTATCCATAGTAGTAGGCGATTCTTGTCATATGGATGGATGATGTGTTGGCAAAATTTACTTTCATAAGCCATGCAAATGGAAATGTATGTCCACTCTTTCGAGTTCCATGCATGCTATTTGTTTTTCGACACGACCCACATGAAAAAAAAAAAAAGTGGTATCCCGTCAGGTAATTAATTATTGATGGATTTTTGAAAAACCCTAAAGCTTATGACATGTGCTTAAGAATTTCATTTCATTAAACATAATATAGTTTCGCCGACAAAAAAAAAACATAATATACTAGATATGCAACATGCATATAAAATACAACTCTGGTAACATATACTTCAATATATAAAACAGCATCAAGAGGAGAGAGGATGATCTAATATTAAACATTCATAAATTTGATAAAATGGTAAACCAGAATTTTCTTATATAACATTCTATTTGTTTGCTCCTAATTGTAATGAAATTTTATCTTGTATGAAAGTCTTATATATGGTTGAATTGTAATGCAAACTTTCCTTCGTAATGCACCAAATATGAATTTCTTCAAACTTAATAATAACCTAATTACAACCCATTTCTTCTATCTTTCCTCCCTCTGTAACCATCAAACCAACTTAACAATTCCCTACTTACAACCCACTTCTTCTATCTTTCCTCACTCCTTAGCAATTATAACATGATTTAAGTATCCCCTACTTTCATATTAAATGAAATGATCTTGATGTTTTATTGGTGACATGTGTGTTTTCTCTTTTCGCATCTAATTATTTTATTCAACTTCACAAATATTTCATTTATCATGAAAATGCGACCCGATTCTTGTATAAAAGCGTAGCATTACATTCCTCTCTTCACCTCCTAAATCATTTCAAACGTCTCAGCCCAAATGAAAATCCCATTGACTTTTCTTATTCTCCTATTTTTCCCTCTCTTGATAAAGACTAACCAAACAAAAAACACAATCTACCTTCCTCTTGTGCATGTTAGCACTGAAAACTATTTTCCTAACAAAGTTATTTCCCCTCCCCTCATGTCACCTCGTGCACACAGAGGGCTCATGTACATAGCCGAAATTTATTTCGGTTCTGTAAAGCAATATCTTCACGTGGATACGGGAAGCACTTTTACATGGATAAATTGTCACCCTTGTAGCCACTGCTTGGTTGACAACATCTATCCAAAATACAGGCCGGCAGAATCAGAAACATACTTTGATGCATTTTGTGAAGCAACGGAGAAGGATTCCAATCCAAGGTTTACCTATTCCAGGGGAAGATGCAACTACGAACTCCAATATGCAGATGACAGTACATTTCGAGGTACCCTTTCATTAGAAACAATTAAACTAGAAACGCTTGATGGTGGGTTTGAAACTGTAGAGGACGTGTATTTTGGGTGTAACTATCAAGCCTTGGGTCACTATGACGGAACAGGAACAGGCTTATTAGGCCTCGGGCTTGGAAAGTACTCCCTTGTAGAGAAACTCGGTTCAAGGTTCTCTTTTTGCTTCGGTCAAATAAAAGAAGGTACATCTACTCACAATCTAATACTTGGGGATGGTGCAGTGATACAAGGACATCCGACTGTAGTTAATATCGAAGATGGTCTGTATATGTTTCAACTAGAGTCTGTTCTTGTTGACGAGAAAAAAACTTTGGACAAACCACTCCAGGTAGTATTAGACACAGGCACGTCCATATGTCACTTCTCATCAGATTTGTTCAGGTTTATTGTGGCTAGAGTCGACAAGCTAATAGGATATAGATTCAGAATCCTTACATATGGGTCATTACTATGCTACCAAGTGGGTGCTCAAGAAATACCAGATCAGATTGATATCAGTTTCATATTTGCTGGAGGAGCTGAATTAAGGGTGGATGTCCGAAGTTTATTAGTACCAAATGGGTCTCCTGGAATTTTATGTTTGGCGATCGATGAAATTCCTAAAAATAAACGTGGTGAAGATATACACCCAACCCTCATAGGGGCTGTAGCTATGCAAGGCTATAACTTCGGCTACGACCTAAAAGCAAAAACTGTATATTTTCAAAAACGAACTTGTAATGTTTAAATTAAAGTTAGTTTTTTTTTTGGTCTTTTAATTCAATGTTGTTAAGTTACTGTTAAAATGTAACAAGATCTACAAAATATTGGTAGTTGTTTGGTTTACAAGAGATTGCCTCTTAATAGAGAGAGAATGAAAGGATGAACATCAGACGACCTAATATGAAGAACAAAATAAAAATTTAAAAGCATGGAGCGAAAAGACAAAATAAAATTTTAAAAACATGAATGACTTCGGGATACGAACACTCCTGGCAACAAATGTCATAGGGTTTCTTCTTTTTCTGTTTTGAACGCGGAGAAATATGAAGGTGATGTTGCTGGAGACATGGAAGCAGGCTTATTACCAAAGCGCAGTGATAAGCATTGCAAGTCAGGGTTGTTGTGGAAAGAAGAATCCAGGAAATGTGATGACACCAGTAAAGCCAAGTTCAGACCATGGTCACTCTGGTTGTTGTGACAAGAAACAGAAAGATAATGAAAGGATTGTGAGAAACAGCTGTTGTGTAGAACCTGGTGATTTGGGACAAGGCCGTGGCTCTGGGTGTTGTGGTACCAAGATTCACCAAGACGAGGTGAAACAAAGCTGTCATAACAAGGCTGGTAACTCGGAGGAGATAGTCCTGGACGTTAGTGATGGTGATTGCAAGTCGATCTGTTGTGAAACTGGCTCAGAACTACAACAAGGTTCTTCAACCTTGGTCAATCTTGATGAAGAAGTGAAAGTCTCGGTCAAAGGTTTTTGCTCAAGGGCCAAGGCCTGCTGATCCTGTGGTAGCTAGCTTGAAAGTGGAAAGCAATGGCAATTGTGAGTCAAAGTGCTGTGAAAATTCTACGAAGGATAAAAAAGAGATCAGTTCAGAGGTGAAAAAAAGGAGTCTAACTGTAGCAGCAGAGAGAGAAGCCACAGTCACCATCACCACCACCATGCGTAAAAAGAGTTTGTGATTGAATAGCATTAGCTTCTCGCTCACATTTGTACTAATAACCTTTCATCAGCAATGACGATATATTAATAGAGAAACTATGTGATTCATCAAAGAAATGTAAATGAATCCTTTTCGTTTTCCTTTTAATCTTCTCCTGTTATCAAATAAGGGTTCAGAACAAAGTCAAAAGTGTTGTGTTACCAAACACAAGATTTTTTCTTTGTTCCCAAGTAAAGGAATCAGATTAAGAGAACCCTTAACTGAATATATGATTCTTCATTGATCAGATATGATAAAAAAAAAAGTTTAATAAGAAAGAAATGGAATGAAGAAAAAGATATCAAAGATTATGTACAAAACGCCAACACAGAGGACTGGCCAGTGTGGTGTAATGATCCTCAACTTTTGCAGATTAAACAAATCATCCCAAGGTCTTTTATTTCCCCAACTCGCTGAGAAGATCTGGAAGTAGAGGGATGCAAGTTCTTTGTAAAAATTTGCAGGAATCATCTCTCGCCAACACATATCAGGTGAGCATGTTTAACCTTTGACGTATTAATATAATTCAAGAAAGAAAAAACAGAGAAGTGATCCTTCTCTTCTCAGCTCTTTTACATAGCTTTGCATTGATTCTACTTTGATAAACTTGAGTGATTAAGAGTAAGACGTTAGTTCTGCTTATGTCCAAATTATGTTATTTGGTTTGGAAAGCATGCTACGAGATTCTTCAGTTCTTCTTACCCCTCAAGCTATCTTATCTTATTACTTTGTTTTTGTTCTCCTCTGTTTTTATTTTTAGTATTTTGTTATGGTCCCTGTTTACGTACTTTGCTTCTCATGTTATCATAATGGATCTCCATCCTTTACTCATCTCTCAATTAAGGTAATTAACCTCAATATCCTGAATGTTCTTGGATCATCGTGCTCTACGCTTTAAACGTTAATGACATTCTAATATGCAAAACGATAAATAATATCATGATTCTCGAACGATACTGTTCATTAGCTTGTAGGATATGCTTAGCTCTTTGTAATTTACATGTAATAATCGAGGTTGTTGTGCTGCAAAAATCTTTTAAGTTTGAATTTTAAACAGTTGACTGTAAATTTTTAGACTGTGATTTTCTTATTTAATTTATGATTGTGACTTTGAGAAAAAGGTCACAAATTCTGGATTTAAAAAAAAAAGCAACGAAAGAATCAAAAGTATCAAATCATGTGAAGAAAAAAAAAACAATCAAACCATGTGTCAGCTTCCGAAACCAAAAACCCTAAATAAGAAAAATTGAAAGAAAAAAAAATACTAAAATAAAACAATTGTCATCAATCTGCGATTCAATCATGCATGCCAGCTTCTGTACTAAGGCCATCTACAAGATCGAACAAGAGATTTTTACACTCAGATTGACGACAATAGTAACGAAATTGATTTGGCCACAAGTCACCTGGAAGCTTGTTTCGCAAGTCACCGTAAGGGTATCCCCTATGATTCTTCCATGCCCCCCAAAGCCGAATATAAGCTCGAGCTTTGTTTTGTAGGAATATAGATCGGTCCATGTCATTGGTTGATGTCTGAAGTTTGTATTTTTCATCCGCTTCTCTTTGCCATTCTCCAATCATATCTGTAAAGATACTGAAATAGTCAATCTCCGACGGGTCCGGTCTGAATAGTTTTATCTTAGAAAAAGGATTTTTATCTATCCAATATTTTGCCATGGAAGATTGGACTAAAAGGAAGAGGATGAAGACTTTTATGGCCAGAGACATCGTTGGAAGATCGAATAGGAGTTTTTTGGGTTCAAAAAAAGGATGATAAGTTTGTGTTTATATAATAGAAGCTTGGCCAATCCTTTTCCAATCGGGATTAGGGTTTTAACGCTTAGCTAATTAAATTTTGCCAACTCATTTCCGTATATATCGTTTTGTGTATTGATAATTTATTAAACAACAAAAAATAACATTAATTAAACAGGGGTTGAACTTGAAACTTTTTTATATATTAGACCATGTGAAAAATAGGATCAAAAAGAAAATAAAAAGGGCAGTGGAAAAGAAATCGATGGATTTGTGAATCAGTTGACCTTAATTGCTTATGTTCGGTTGATTTACAAGGAGAAAAAAATCTATATCCTTTTAACGTTATTAAAATTAAAAATCATATAAGAAGATATTATACTTATCTGATATTCACAAAATTAAATCAATAACTTATTTGCATTAAAGACTCTAAACATTTTTTAAGGAAATAACCCCGTTTATTAAATGGGAAAACACGCACATGCTGATGTCATATTACACGGCGCTTGACGATAAGAGTATCAAATAACCTCTTATGATCGTATCCGTTCTAAGAAATAACAAAAAAGTCCACATCTTAAAATCTCTAATTTGAAATCTAAAAAATCTTTGATCCAAGATTTTCTCGTTCTGAATCTTTAACTTAACGTGAGACAAAAAAAAAAAAAAAGATATTTCCTAACGAAAATGACGTTTAAAAAAAAACGAAAATGACTTTTAAGGCGCCGAAGAAACCAACTCGAGCCTTCCTCTATCACTCGAGAAAATATCAATTGAGGTTGTTACACTCCTTCCGGAAATCTCTTCCTATCTAGTTTAGACAGCAACCCTCTCAACGAAGTCAGGCACGCTCTTGTTTACGTTTTTGAAGCAAATGAGAAGAACCAAAACGATCCGGTGTCTTTGCTTAGGAAGGCTTTGTCCGAACTTCTTTGTGTACTATTATCCACTTTCAGGCAGGCTAGTGAGATTAAAAACGGATCGTAAGTTTCAGCTGGTTTGTAATGGAAAGGGAGTTCCATTAACAGTCGCTATCGCAGCTCCTGACCTCTGCTCTCTAAACTATATACAAGACTTTGTTGATGAATTTGCATTGCATCTTGTGGCTGACATCGAGTTTTTTGCTTGTGTAACAAGTATGCTTTACAGCTTTAGCAATCTTTTCTTTATTTATTTTAAGTAACATTGAATGGTGATATTAGAGTGCCCCTTATATACATTTCGTGACGGCGAATCACGTTCAAGACATACATTTTGCATTATGCACCAAGAACTAACAATAGGATGAAGCTATTGAACAAGTTAATTGTTTCTGAGTTGTTTTAGCATTCCATTGTATTCTACTATTCTTCATGTCTCTAATTCATGTAGTTTTTATAAACGTAGAAACCCGAATATGAACAATCAAAATAATAATAATTTTTTGATAATAATAAAATAGTTAAATACCACCAAATTGAAAGGTCATTAAAACTTGACATAAAATATTTTCAAAACAATCGTGTAGTTCTGTACGGACCGGACCAGGATTTAAAAAACAAGCTCGAACTGTACGTTTTCGGGCTAGGCCGGACCAAACTCCCATATACGAGGTTTGCGGGTTCCAAGCTAGGACGAGACAACCCGATTGACAAGTAAACTAGATTCCCATGCCTGACACAAGAGACTCACAATATAAGATCATGTTGACCTCTCTATACAAAACCAACTAACAACACATATAAAAAATATTAAAAAGAAACCAATTTACGTATCCATGATTTTTAAGACTGAAAAATCATTGGTAATGTAATTATTCATGATTAAGTTAATATTGTACCGAAATATGTTTTTTTTAATTTTTAGACAACACATGTGTACGGAAACTCAATCATAGACGTGTACATCGAGTTAACCTAATCATCGATTTCTGACATTGTAAAACTCGTGAAGAGAGCCAAGAAAAAAAGCTTATGACAGGAACTATGTCGAGGAGGTAATAAGAAACACGGAGAGAATGATTAAGGAGGATGTCAAATTCGGCGACGTAATCGATGGATCATTAATTGTTCATGACCGATATGAGAAATGTCGGGTTTTTTGGATCGATGGATTTTGGTTGGAACGAGCCTGTCAATCTGAGGGGTCTGATGTTTGAAGAAAGCGCCAAAAACATGGGGATGATCTTGAGACCCTCCAAGCTAGATCCAGCAATGGAAGGTGGGGTTAGAGTGGTAATGACATTGCCGAGAGATGCAATGGTTAAGTTCAAGCAAGAAATGGATGATATGATGCATCTTCGTCCTCGCTTTTGATGTTTTTTTTATGGTAAGAATTTGAAGCTACTCTTGAACTTTCTATAAACGGGTAAGTACTGAATCGGAATCGGAATCTAGTGGAGCATTTTGTAAACTACCTTAAACCATGGGATTACCCTAAAGAAGGTGGCAACCATCCATGCATATAGAATCAGAATTTAGTGAAATATCCTCTTTATTAAAATTAAGATAGGGAACGGCAAAGAACCACATTCTCAACATGAAAAGAAGAAAGAGAATCACAAATGGACTGAAAATAATTGAATGCTTAAATATGCTCCTGTTCTTTTATATGATACAGTTATCTTTTAATCCTTTTATGTAAAAGTCAATCTGTCGAACAAAAATAATGTAAGAGCATGTTCAATGCTAAATTTTAAATTGGAGTTCTTAAAACATATTTAATAATAAATCTAATTAAAGTTAAGAGAGAGAAAAATAATTTAGTTTTGGAGAGAAAAAAAATGAGAGAGAAAAAATATTTTGATTTCATATTTATGATCTTTTAATTTTTTGACACCTGTCTGCTAAGCACTGCATCCTAAAACGCTTAAACAAGCATCGATGTCTAATTTAACTAATTATTTACATTATTTTTAAAGAAAAAAGCCTAAGAATCTATATAAGCACTCAGCGTTGAACGTGCTCTAAAAGTCTATCTAATTTATTAAATGGTATTCTAATAGAAAAATGTAAAAGTCTATCTAAAATACACGATTCTAATGGAAAAAAAAAAGAAATACACAATTCATAGATGACGTGTTGGATACTTATACAGTTATACTTTCATAGCCATTCAAACTGAAATATGTCACCTATCCATAGTAGTAGGCGATTCTTGTCATATGGATGGATGATGTGTTGGCTAAATTTACTTTCATAAGCCATGCAAATGGAAATGTATGTCCACTCTTTCGAGTTCCATGCATGCTACTGTTTTTTTTTTTTTTTTGTTAAAGTCATGCTACTGTTTGTTTTTCGACACGACCCACATGAAAAAAAAAAAAAAGTGGTATCCGATGAATACTCTGATATCAATTCATCTGAAGCAAACACACTTTGTGGAAAATGGGAAAGCCCCAATTTATCAAAGTCTAGCTCGGGAATCAAGATCGAATCGAGTTCCATTATAGTAGCTATATCTTCATGAGCAACCTCTTCACGTTTAGCTTTGTAGTCGGTCAATTCACCGTCGATGCATGATATCATCCAACAGCTCCAGGTTGGCCGTTGTCTGAGCCAGCCTATCTTGAAACTCGGCAGCATAATCTCTTCCCTTGAGATGTGCTTTGACTTGTAAAATAATAAATCCCGTTATACTTGGCAGCCACTTCGTTCCTCGCATCTTGGACAGCTCTCTGAATATCGTTATCGCAAGACTTGACCAACATCGATACGGAATGGCACTACGAATTGCTATGAAAAAAATTGTAGTGACCTTAATCACAGGGCCACCGATAAATAGTATAATGATTCTCGAACGATACTGTTCATTAGCTTGGTGGACATGCTTAGCTCTTTGTAATTTACATGTAATAATCGAGGTTGTTGTGCTGCAAAAATCTTTAAGTTTGAATTTTAAACGGTTGACTGTAAATTTTTAGACTGTGATTTTCTTATTTAGTTTATGATTGTGACTTTGAGAAAAGGTCACAAATTCTGGCTTAAAAAAAAAGCAACGAAAGATTCAAAAGTATCAAACCATGTCGAAAAAAAAAACAATCAAACCAATACCATGTGTCAGCTTCTGAAACCAGAAACCCTAAATAAGAAAAATTGAAAGAAAAACAAAAACTAAAATAAAACTATTGTCGTCAATCTACGATTCAATCCTGCATGCCAGCTTCTGTACTAAGGCCATATACAAGAGAGGTCAAGAGATTTTTACCCTCAGATTGACGACAATAGTTACTATATGATATTGGCCACAAGTCATCTTGAAGCTTGTTACGCAAGTCACCATACGGGTATCCCCTATGATTCTTCCATGCCCCCCAAAGCCGAACATAACCTCGAACTTTCTTTTGTAGGAATATAGCTCGGTTCATGTAATTGGTAGGTGTCCAAAGTGGATATTGTTTATCCGCTTCTCTTTGCCATCCTCGAATCATACCTCTGAAGATACTCAAATAGTCAATCTCTGACTGGTCCGGTTTGAATGGTTTTATCTTGGCAAAAGGATTTTTATCTACCCAATATTTTGCCATGGAAGATTGGACTAAAAGGAAGAGGATGAAGACTTTTATGCCCAAAGACATCGTTGGAGAGATCGAATAGTTTTAGGTTCAAGCCTGATGATAAGTTTGCGTTTATGTTATAGAAGCTTCGCCAATCCTTTTCTAATCGGGATTAGGGTTTTAACGTTTAGCTAATTAAATTTTGCCAACTCATTTCCGTATATATCGTTTTGTGTATTGCTAATTTATTAAACAACAAAAATCACATTAAACAGGGGCGGTTGAAACTTTTTTTCTATATTATTAGACCATGTGAAAAATAGGATCAAAAAGAAAATAATAAGGGCAATGGAGAAGAAATCGATGGATTTGTGAATCACTTGACCTGATTGCTTATGTTCGGTTGTTTTACAAGGAGAAAAAAGTCTATATCTTCTTAACGTTATTAAAAATCAAAATCATCTAAGAAGATATTTTACTCATTTGGTATTCAAAATTAAACCTATAACTTATTTGCATTAAAGACTCTAAATTTTTTTAAAGGAAATAATCGCGTTTATTAAATTGGAAAAACACAAACACACGCTGATGTCATATTACACGGCGCTTGAGAACGATACAACAAACAATGTTATCAATTAGTCTAACCTGTTATCCGTTCTTAGAAATTACAAAAAATTCCACATATTAAAATCTCTAATTTGAAATCTGAAAATTATTTTTATTAGTACCAAATAATCCTACAAAATCCTTGATCCAAGATCTTCTCGTTCTGAGTCTTTCACTTAACGTTAGAAAAAAAGAAGAAGGATATTTCCTACCGAAAATGACGTTTAAAAAAAAAAAAACGAAAATGACTTTAAAGGCGCCGAAGGTGAGTGCACGATTGAATAATCTTATATAACATTCTATTTGTTTGCTCGTAATTGGAATGAAATTGTGATCTTGTATGAAAGTCTTATATGAATTGTAATGCAAACTTTCCTTCGTAATGCACCAAATATAACGCTGTATATACTTCGAAGTACACTCCCATATGAATTCTTCAAACTTAATAATAACCTAATTACAACCCACTTCTTCTATCTTTCCTCTCTCTTTAACCATCAAACCAACTTAACAATCCCCTACTTACAACCCACTTCTTCTATCATTCTTCACTCCTTAGCAATAAACATGATCTACTTATCCCCTACCTTCATATTAAATGAAATGATCTTGATGTTTTGTTGGTGACATATGTGTTTTCTCTTTTCACATCTATATCATTTTATTCAACTTCACAAATCTTTCATTTATCATTAAAATACTACCCCATTCTTGTATAAAAGCGTAGCATTACATTTCCTCTCTTCAGATCCTAAATCATTTCAAACAGCCCAAATGAAAATCCCAATGAGCTTTCTTATTCTCCTATTTTTCCCTGTGTTGATAAAGGCTAACCAAACAAAAAACACAATCTATCTTCCTCTTGTGCATGTTAACACTGCAAACTATTTTTCTAATAAAGTTATTTCCCCTCCCCTCATGTCACCTCGTGCACACAGAGGGCTCATGTATATAGCCGAAATTTACTTTGGTTCTGTAAAGCAATATCTTCACGTGGATACGGGAAGCAGTTTTACATGGATACATATTGTCACCCTTGTTCCCACTGCTTGGTTGACAACATATATCCAAAATACTGGCCGGAAGAATCAGAAACATACCGTGATGCATTTTGTGAACCAAGCTTTACATATTCTTATTCGAGTGGAATATGCAACTACGAACTCGAATA